GAGTTCTTCTTTAAATGTCTTGTAGAATTCAGCAGTGAAGCCATCAGGACCTGGGCTTTTCTTTGTTGGTAAATTTTTTATTACATTTTCAACTTCACTCATTGTAATTAGAGTGTTTAGAGTTTCCATATCTCTTTCATTTAACTTTGGCAGTTCGTATGTACCTAGGAATCTGCCCATTTCTTCTGTGTTTTCCATTTTATTGGAGTACAGGTTCTCAAAGTAGGTATTGATGATCATCTGGGTTTCTGCTGGATCTGTTGTGACTTCACCTTTTTCATTCTTAATTGCATGTATTTGCACCTTTTCTTTCCTGTTTTGATAAGGTTGGGTAAAGGTTTATTGATTTTATTTATTCTTTCGAAAAACCAACTCTTTGATTCATTAATTTTTTGTATTGTTCTCTTAGTCTCCATTGCATTGATTTCTGCTTTGATCTTTATAATTTCCTCTCTTGTATGAGCTTTGGATTTTTTATGCTCTTCTTTTTCTGGGAGCTTGAGGTTCTGCACTAGGTTATTTATCTGAGTTCTCTCTGTTTTCCTAATATGGTCGTTCACTGCTATGAACTTCCCACATAGAACTGCTTTCATTGTGTCCCATAGATTCCTGTATGTTTCAGTGGCATTTTCATTTATTTGTAGAAACTGTTTAATTTCTTCTTTAATTTCTTCTGTGACCCATTTGTTGTTCAAGAGGGTGTTATTCAGTTTCCATGTGTTTGTTGGGGTTTTGCAGTTTCTTATGTCATCGATCTCCAATTTTATTGCACTGTGGTCTGATAACATACAGGGGGTAACTTCAATTCTTTTACATTTACTTAGACACGTCCTATGAGCTAGCATGTGGTCTATTCTGGAGAATGAGCTGTGTCCAGCCATAAAGAATGTGTATTCTGATTTTGTGGGGTGGAAAACTCTGTAAACATCTATTAAGTCCATTTGTTCAATAACTTGGCTCAGTTCTAGAATTTTCTTGTTAACTTTTTGTCTAGATGATTTGTCTATTTGTGATAGTGGGGTATTGAGGTCCCCCACTACAACTGTCTTAGTGTTTATTTGGTTTTTCATGTCCATTAATATTTGTTTTGTATAGTTGGGGGCATTCATATTTGGTGTGTATATATTTAGGATTGTCATCTCTTCCTCTTGGATTGTTCCCTTCACAAGAATGTAGAGACCATCTTTGTCTCTCTTAATTAGTTTTGGTTCAAAATCTACTTTGCCTGCAAATGAGATTGCTACCCCTGCTTTCTTCTGGGTTCCTGTGGCATGGAGAACTGTTCTCCATCCTTTTACTTTCAGTCTATGA